GGTCTCGCCAGAGGTTCGGACTGGAGCCACAAGAAGACCAGGTTTACCTCCTAGGGCTGACATTCTGCATCCCTGGAATAAGGAGTGTGCACATAGCAGAGCAGAGACTTGAACTCAGCTCTTCTTGGTACAAGTCCAGCACCAACCGGTGCACTAGACTAACATATTGCTAGATTAAATGTAGCCTAGTGCACCCTGCAGGGATACTGGCTGGGGAAATCGCAGTTCCCTTTCTGCCAGTTATCTGATAATACATGAGTGTGCAGAACTGCAGCCTTCTGGTCTCCTTGTATTTCCTTAATATCTAGAAGCCGGACTGCACATAAGGGGTTTATACAGCATGGTTGAAAAATCTAGGCCAGCTCACCCTCGCCAGACCCAAACAGAACATAATGAACTATGAGGGGTGAGCACGAATCCATACACAGCACTGCTATAACAGAACAGAGGACAAGTTGTTCCCGTTAGTATTTTACTTGTCTCCCGTTTCAAATTAACAGAAAGTCTTTTCAAGATAGCAAAGGCATTTTCAAAGATGTCTAAGTAGCAGCATTATTTCAAACAAGGTTACATACCAGCTGTGGAATGAATGCCCAGATTACAAGATGCAGAAGTTGTCCTGCCTTCTCCTGTCCTCAAACAAAATCACTCTCTGGAGAAATGGGTTTAAAATTTCAGAATGAAGGAAGTAGATGTTGAACAGTAATGATGACAGGCCAGAAGGAAGAGCTGAGGACAAACCGGAGCACTATCTGACAGCCAAGCATAGCACGAGTCTGAAGGGCTGTTCCCCAGTGCAAAGCGCTTTTATTTATGCTTTGGTGACCTGAGGCGCTGTGCTTATTTTGCGCTCTGCCATTACAGGGTCAGCAGTGGCAGACACACATCGCCTTCAAGGCAGCCGCCCCCCACCCCCAACCAGCCTCTTCCCCTGAGGAATCCTGGGGACATTGTCAGCACTTGCAGAGCATCAAGAACCAGAGAGGCTGGGAATGAGCCCATCGTGCAAACCTATTATGTGACCTGGAACAAGGTAGATTTGTAGATGCTCAGGATGTTACCTCCCAGAAGCCCTGCCAGCATGTCTAATGGATACGGATGCTGGGGCTCGAAGGCCACAGCCTCTGGAGACTGATTTTCTGCCTGCCCCTGACCTAGAACTCTCCCTAGAGTCTTCTGCAATCAGGTTCATGGAATTATAGAACAGTAGCCCTGGAAGGGGCCAAGGCGGCCATCAGATCCAGCCCCCATTGGTCAAATTGCCCCACCCCAAAAAGGGAGACAATCCCTAGCACAGGAAATTGAAAAACCACTGATCTGAATTATTTACACTGATTCACAACCCTGAGGGCCAGAATCGTATTACAGTTCAAATGATGCTACCACAACCCAAAGTAAAAGTTCAATATTGCACGTACTTCTGAATTCTTTGTTTGCATGCATACCTCATGTGGAATTTCACCTCTCCAAAGCTGCTTCTAGACAACTAGAAATGTCCGGCCTCAGATGAACCAGATGTTCAGGCCCCTAATTACTCTGCTGCTGCTTGGCCACCACCCAGAAGCCTATGGCTGCACCTCCGAAGTCTAGTCTGCACCTAATTCCTCGGATGCTTCAGCAAAGCCTTTACAGTGATTGTCTTCCCATATTAATATGCAAGACAAAAGGTTACCTTCCACCCCAGAAATGGCTGCATAAACGAGAAGGTGGCAGGTGTGGGAGTGAAGGTAGACAGAGGACCTAGCCCTGCACACCACAACTTGGGAACCATAATAACTGAAGGGCCAGAGAAACATTAGAAATGACTGGCTGGATCAGATCGTGGTCCATCTAATTCTGTTCCCATGTTGGCCAACAAGCTGCCCATGAGAAGCCCTCACGGAGAACTTGAAGGCAACAATAGCCTCTGAGCCACATGGCTCAGAAACTTGCATTCACAGGGCCTCAGGCCCGGACGGACAGACAGGCAGAGTCACCCTCACTAGTAGCCCCTGGTATTACCTTCCATGCACCTGCCTAATCTCTTTCTAGAGCAGCCTAAACTGGTGGCCATCACTTCACCTTGTGACAGCAAAGGCCGTTGTTCTGCTCCATGCTTTGCAAGGAAGGCCTTCCTTTACTCTGTCCCGAAATGTCCCACCATTCAGCTTCAGGAGATGGTCCTGCTGCATGCCAGCATTAGGGAAGATGGTGGCGGGAGGGGGAATGCCCCCCAACAGGCATCACTTTGTGCAATTCTGTCAAGTGGAAGTGAAACGGGAGAGACCAGGCCTAGCGGAAGGTTCAGCTTTTGTATAGAGAAGAAGGAGCTTGTCACATCTCACCCAGGCTGCCAAAGGCCCAGAAACAGCTCTGTGCTGTGCTTTCCTGCGACGCAGGAGAACGTGATCGAGCACCTCACTGGAATGCTGGCTTTGCTCCTTGGGTATTTTAAGGCTTGCTCTTAAATAAAGGACATGGGAAAATGTCCCATCACCTTAATGAGTGTCAGCGGCTAAGGAACCTGGATCTCCCATCTCCTTTCAGCATTAACATATGCAGAGCAGTCTCCGAGACACATCTGAGTCAGTTGGGCTTCATTTCCTTGCCATCCAAATATTGCTCTATTCAGTGAAAGCTCTTTTGCTCAAAGCCCAATCACTTTCCCTTTTAAGAAGTTTATCGTAAGTGGGGCCCATTTCACAGCTGTGTTTTACTGCTTGGTAAATTATTGCTTTTCCAGGTGTTTAGGTTACACCTGAATTACCTCCAGGGGTAACCAAAATACTTTGCTTTCCTACCTCATCATGCGAGTAAAACTGCTCTTTTTCTCCCTTCACTGTCTACCTATGGTGATTTTCAAAACAAAACAAAAAAAAGATTAGATGTGGGGTTTTACCAGAACAGGGTGAAATTCCCTCCTGTTGAATTTCACAAAAGGGTGGTGAAAGTAGGCGGTAATTTTTCAGAGACTGGGAACTTCCCGCTAGGTTTGTGTGGGAGCTTTGGACAGTTTACAGTGGGGCCCTGACACCCCCACCAATTCACCTCCGCTGTTGCACAAGCAGTGGGTTGCACCAACTGCCTTGCACAAGCAAGACCTGCCTCACGCAAGGGAGATCAGTCCTTCCTAGGGAAGCCTGAAACAATGAGAAACACTCGTTTCTGGAAGGAGGTAGGTTAGCAGAGACTGCATGGAGGAGCTTCCTTCCGGGTAGCCTAGTCACACTTTCCTTCCTGAGATACCCTCAATGCAGTGCCATTCCAAGGAGAAACAGTGTGGTGTAGTGGTTAGAGTGCTGGACCAGAACCTGGGAGATTTGGTTCTAGTTGCCACCCAGCCATCAAGCTTTGGACCAGTCACGTCCTTTTGGTCTAACTTAACTCACAGGTCTTCTGTGGGGATAACTTGAAGAGCAGGACGGATATAGGCTGCCTTGGGTTCTTTGGAGGAAAAAAGACAGGATAGAAGCGTGACAATAAATAAATAAATTCTGGGAGGGGGGATTAGTAAAATGGCCCTCTCTTCAGAGGCTCAAGTTCATCCTCCATCCTCCAGATTTTGTCTAATTTAACTATTTTTATCTTAATACTTCAACAAATATTCTCCTGTTTATGGTATCTGGGTGAACAAAATACAATTTCAGCTGATAGGGCAGAGATGATTTTAAAAAACATTTATTTCACACCATCTGAGCTTAGCAGAGCTCTCAGGCGAGACAGCTTTGCCTAGGCCAGGGTGGCCTCTGAGCAGGACGCCTCTTTACAAGAGGGAGGGGCGCAGCTCCGTGGCAGAGCACCTGCTTTGCACGCCGAAGGTCCCAAGTTCGATGCTCGGCTTCTCCAGGCGGACTCGGAGAGACGTCTGCCTGAAACCCGGGAAAGCCCTGGCCAACCACTTGGGGAAAACTGGGCAAAGGGGCCGATGGCCTGGCTCTGTTTATGGCAGCTTCTGTTTCTATGTACTTTTGACAGCTACGGATTATTCTGCTATGCAACTTCAGGGGCTGGCTCAGATGTTATGCCAAATGGATGTTATGCGAAGGGTTCCAGGTTTATTCTAATGTGCTGCTGGACACATTTTGTGCAGTTGTAAAATAAGGTGAAGTGGAAACTAAGTGTTTGTGCAGTCGGGAATCTTGCATCTTGTTGCTGTTTTCCATTAAAGCAGCATTGGTCACGGGGCTGCACCAGGGCCTCGTGCAGTTACAAGAACACTTAGAATACAGGCAGGAATGGTTAGCAAGATTTCGGCTCACATCTGTTTTCGTAAGTCCCAATTCTGTTCTTCTTTGCCATAGCCGCACATGAAGGAAGAGAGAGAGCTGTCAATTATACTTCCTCTCTGGCTCTCGCATTTCCAGTCAAATTCAGTGAATCCTGAATTTTGTGGTATGTGTTTAATTCACATGAAAATTTGTTAATAAAATGTCAACATTTTGTATTCAATTTTCTATGCATAAGTCATTTTTCTATTACACTACATTTTAACATATTCACTAATATACCAATTGTCTGTGCACTTTCAATATACTCATTTATTTGTGCAGTGTAAACAAAACTGGAAAAGTTTATTGTAACATTTAGAGAAGTTATGATTTACCAATTTTGTTTGCAAATTTTGGCTTGCAAAGTGATTTGAACTGCAAAATTAGGTAAGTTTGCATTACCTGGTTTGGAGGAAAGGCTCTCTCTAGGAACACCACCCAAGGTTTGAGTTTGGCATTGTAAGTGCTGCTTGGCTGTATCATCATCATCATCATCATCATCATCATCATCATCATTGTTATTTAGCTTTTTTGTAAAATTTCTTTAAGTATCTTTCTTTTTATGTAGAGAACAAAGCTTATAAGTGTGTTGTGGGGGGGGTGTATTACAGCAAAAACAAAATTAATTCCTGCTCCCTTTAAAAATTATTGCAACAGACATCAGAAACTGGTCTGCTTCGTGACCGCCAATGTCCCCGTATCTCCCTGAAAAGATGAAAGGGACACCATCATTTTCATATTCACCAGACAAACCTGATCATCATAGCGGTAGGTAAGGAACTGTTCTCCCGCAGTATCTTCCAAGAAACTTCCTTGAGGAGAAAGTGCAAACTCAGGCAAGAAGTACACTCCCTGCGGCTGTTCTGCCCCCGTCTGTAAAAGATTGAATAAGATCATGTTACAGCTCCTGAAGGAAGAGAAGTCCACAATATTCAACAGCATGTGGACATACCTGGATGCCCCATTACTGCATGTGACCAGGGAAAGAAAGGCCCGTCTAAGTGTGGCTGCACACCTGCGGCTGCACACTGGCCCAGAGTCCCCGGGCGGACTCCTCCACTCCCCCACTGCAATGGGCACATCCGTCCGCTGCTCCCCCTGAACCAGACGATGGTGGCGAGGAAGAGGAGGAGCAAGAGCAGGAGCCCTGGCCTCATCCGCCCATCAAGCAAATCCGCCATGAAAGAGGACAAGGAGCAAACGCTGACGGTGAGGAGAAAGAGTCTCTGAAAGGGGGGGGGGTCCTGCCCAAGGGCCCCAAAAAACTGGAACTGGCTGTGATATATGGTAGCTTTCTTGACCTTCCTTACCAAACACACACTGGGCCAGTCGAAACGTAGCTCCCAGGTCACTGTGAACTGTGGCCAGTAGCCTGGTACTTAGGGCCGTATACTCCCAAGCCTTTGTCTTTTTCTCCCCTTCACCTCCGGTTTAAACCGTAGATTGGCATCACTAACCACAGTATCCTTTTCCTTGAAATTTTCCTTAACTGGAGGACCCTGAGGCTACCTCGGAACTAGGTCTGCTCGGAATTGCTCCTGCACCATTCACCAACTGCTTTTGGAGGGGAGATTCACTGGTTTGGGGCGAGGGCAGCAGTAACTCTGGAGGCTACATTCAAATACGTGAGCCCCTCCCACCACCGGTCTAAGCTTTCTGCAATATGACATGGTACAGTCCACCAACAGGTCTGGTTCATGACCACACACCCACGGAAAGTTACTTCAATTTACATACACACGAAGACCTGGGCAGTCTAGGGGCCAAAAGAGGCATTACCTCGAAGATGCAGATAGCAGCTGCCTCTTTTTCTCTCTTTGTTTTTACTCTAGTAAGTGCTGGACCCCCAGTCTAGCAAGAAAGGGAGCTATGGCCTCTTTTTATGGGGAGGAAAGAATATGCTGGATTGCTACCCACTCCCTGCACCTGCAACCTCTTTTGCAAAATGGTGATCCATAAAGCGCATGGAGCACATGGAAAGCCATGCTTGACTGCAGTAGGGTGGGGTGGGGTGGGGCAAGTGTTCAGCTCAGGACCACAGCATTGCAGGTGGGGAGGGGGGTGCTGGGGTTAATGCCCCAGCAGTGGCGGAGATGCCAAGCAGCAGGGAGCGTGCCAGGTTTCTCTGCAACATCACAGCATCACATTAAAGGCCAATATGGAATGAGACCCTTTTTAAAGTGCTTACATTTCTTTTCACTGAACCACATTAAAAACATTCAGGGCACCGCAATAAAGCTGTGATGTTCTGTAAACCGTGATAATGTTTAAAGCAGAGAAGTGGAGCACTGAAAAGAAAACAGAGCTTTACTGACTTCAAGATGAGAAAAGTTATCTGTTGCTGAGCAAAACAGCAGCCCTCCTCGCTACGGGCATAAGCGATGCACAGCCCATCCAGCCAATGTGGCAGAACTCCCACTAGTTTTAAAAGCTCTGGACAGAACTCTCTTGCAGTAATCTGAATTCAGTCCAGAACTACGGAAAATTTCAACCCAAGAGGTTAACTGTTAGAATGGAAAGAGTTTTGCAATCTTTACTGGCCTGAATATTAAGCACCCTATAAAATTTGGGAAGAGAGAGCAAAGATTGAATTTTACAATAGCAGCAGCCTCCTAAATACTACTAAGAGTGAAATATCATTCAAGGCAAGTGCAAAGATACAGCAGTAACGAACAAACATTCACAAGTACTCTCATTTTATCTGAGCACAGAAATTTTCCTTTTGATTCACAGAATGCAATTCCCCGTATGTAATATCAAAAATTCTCTGTAAGGTTTGACATCATTGTGCATCCTTTCCTTGAAAAATGCATACAATAGCGTTTACCATTTCATCTGATAGCATGGCATAAATTAGACATGAATACTTTTGAAAACATGAAAACGTATGAAAACTTACAAAGTTTTTGCATTTATAAAATGCCAAAAGATATAAAAATCTCAGTTGCTTCTGTATCCATATAAACAATGACATGATATCTCAAGGCTGTTCTCACCCATTGAATTATATCAATATCTTCTTAATACAAATCAGAAACATCTCAAAAGCATGTGTGGAGATATTTCTGCCCATTGCAAATGGGTTTTAAGGGCAAAGACAGATGTCAAGTGTTACTTATTTTCATTCGGGAAGGCTCAGACAATAAAGCCAGTTCAAAAACATTAAATGCAGGGTATCTGATAAACACTAAAAACAGCAGCACTAAAAATAATAAAACCTTAAGATGAAATGCCTAGGGGGGAAAAGGCTTGTCACCCAGTCTCCCTGCCCCTGAAATGCACACCAGGAACAACTGCCTCTTTCATTCCCAATGAAGCCCAACCTCAGGAAAGTGGGAGCTGGGCCCCAAATCCAGAGCACCCTCTTCCTTCTCTTGCAATTAGCAGAGTTCCTCCCATGCCAGCTGCAGCTCCACAGTGTGCAGGTGTGACGGGGAAGCAGCACGGGGGACCCCAGGGGCAGGGAGCAGAGGACTGAGGCTCCACCAGGAAACCCCAGTGGGGCCTCGGCCCTCCTCCACACCAGCTGGGTGATGCTGGTGGTCAGAGGCCTTTCTTCTGTCGAAATTGACCTCGGATTGTACCTTTAGACAGCCAGAACCAGCCTTCCAAGTGTTTCAGAGGGTGAGAAAAGCACAGATACAGCCTCTCCTCCATGTTCCTCTCGTTCTCCATTGGATTCCCAAACCCAGAGGGTTCAGAGTGTTACAGGCACCACATGGGATGGTGCCCCAAAAGTCTGAAAAGCTGGATAACAGATTTTAACTCTAGCAATTGTCTTGTCACTTGAATAATTTACTGTGTGTGTGGTACAGTATGTTTGCAACAGTCGTGTTTTTATTATTACTTGCAAAAGTTATGCTTTTACTAAGACAGCATATCTTTGATATGATGTACTGCCCTGAGATGTGCATAGAACTACACCAATTTCGTGGTTTTACTTTTCTGGTGGACAGAGACTCCAGGCCACAGCTCGGTGGCATATCGCATATCTGACATCCCCAGAATGTTCAAATTCATTGGAGTCACAGCCAAAAGTACTGGGTTAGAGACGGACTGTTTGCCTAACTGGGTTAAATGCATCCAGAACACCTGACCCCCGCTTCCTGTTGTGAACCAGCCTCTCTGCAAACATCTTTCCAGGTCCTTTCCCAGTCCTGCCTGTGTCACAGAACTGCAACTCCCTGGAGAAGAGCACTCTAGAACTGGATGGGCTTCATCTGACCAAACAGCTCCACCTCAGCAGAAGGTTCTTTGCACCCAGCATCTGACTTGTTCTCTCTGCCTCTTGGTTTGCCCTCTGATGTGAATGACAGCCCATCGCAACGTCCAGTCTGTGCAGCCCTGCTCAGCTCTTGTAATTCAAGGCTGCAGCCTCCTTTACGGAGCCCATCCATCCCAGAGCTGGGCTTCCTCTTCTTCTGCCTCTGATGCCCCCTAGTATGACTGCCTCCTCACGATGTGCCCAAGAGCTTCAGTTCTGAGGGGTTCTGACTCTGATTCATGGCTCCTTCTCCAGTTCTGCCTTTGGGCTTGGTCCTGCTTCTCAGTTGCTCTTCCCTCCATTATCCCCACTCCTGGCTTCTGAGTCTCTTCAAGTCATGGCCTGGACATTAAGGCAGCGCCTCATAAGGCTTTAGCAGCTGCATTACAAACAAAGGCAGCAGGTGAAACCATTGCCATCTGTGCACTAGGAAAAACCTGACCCATTGATTTCTCTTATTTAGTTTCTCCAGTCACAATGGCTCCACTCAACTTTTATTTTAAAGGTGGCAAGTCGGTGCCCCTGAAACAAAGCTCTTTCCACAAAAGTTTTGGAGATCAGTGTGAAATGCAAGAATTTGGGAAAGGTACCTGGGGAGTAGAAAGCTGTTTGGGTTCCACACGTCTTAAGCCCATCCCCATCCCAGGGGAAGATACTCTAAACATGCTGGCTTGTGAAAGAATAATATCTAGGCTTATGTGCTTGGCTCAGCCATGTTGTAGCTCGCAGGCCCAACCCTTCAGGGCATTCGTTCACTCCACCCCCAGAGTTCTGCTTGGCTGCCTGGCTCGGCAACCCCAAACGACCCAGGCGCTTCCTGGAAGACCTCAGCTACAAGCATGAGCCTGCCCCCTCCATGCAGCACTGGAGTAAAAGCTGAACACTGGATCGTCGCCCTGTTCATCGCCTGGACAGTCTGCTCTGCTCCTCATACCTCACCCGTCCTGCCTCCCCACCCCATGCCTGGCTCCCACGCAGCCACTCCTAATCTGAATCAACACCCTGCCCTGACCCTCTAGAGTCTGTATTGTTGGAGGAATCGTGTGGGTGTCCACAGGGACTCTGATGCCAAAAGCCACAGCCCCAGAGCACAGATCTTAAGGAAATCACCATCAGTTCTGCTGTTGCGACTTCCAGTAATTGCACTAGTTGCATCTCACATGCGTACCACTGCCGAATGTAAACCATGCTGCAGCCACATGTCCTGGTGCAGATGAACATCCGAAGATGCTGGTTCTCGGCAGATGTGAAGCACTGTGGCTTTCGCAGGCACCCAAGATCCACTCCAAAGTCTGTGTTCAGACACGAGGGTGTCCTTGAAGGCTATTTGCAAGGCAATGTACATCATGGGAACTGAAGAGAACCAAGCATGCGTGCCCATGTTGGAAGCTGCAAACTGAACCACGGCTTGCTTTGTTTTGGGAATATCTGCGGACGAATTTCTAAGCAAAAGTGTTTCTGATCACTGGTAGCATAAATGTGCACATTTTTCCTTTTTCTAGTAATTGCTACCAAGTCTGCTTAACATTCATCTCTAACTCACCCTGACGGGAAACAAGCAAAATGAGGTGTCACCATCGCATTCACTGGAGCCTGAGGCTATAGATGG